TTTTATGCTACTTGAAAGCACTGAGACCTACTTTAAGAAGGCAGATTGTCCCTCCAGCGTGGCCCTGATGAGTCCTACAGACTGGCATACAGTTGGATTTGGAACTTGCTGCTATGTGCAGCATTGGATTTGACCTGATATAGGCAGATTCCTGCTCAGCGCACAGGGTATAGGACATAGGCTTGAAAGGTGTATCTTGTCTTGTATCCTCTCTGACAGTGACCATTAACAAATACTTATTAACTCTTAGAGAAAGAGTTTAAAGAAACAAACATGTAAAGAGTGACTCTTCCCCGAAGCATCCTGTTCTCCTGAATTTAGGATGTTTTCAGATGTCTAGAAACTACTTCAGTTGTCCTGTCCAACACTGTTAACAGCAAATGACATGTTCAGCTCTGGGTCCAGATGCCTAGAAGTTAGGGAAAAAACACTTTCCATAGGTATGATCCTAAAACTTTTCTAGTCTACTTTCTTTTCACCTTCATCATCTCTTCCTCTTCTGGCCTTTATACCTTTAAAGACTTTCACGCTCCCGGGAACTAAACTTGCACATAAACTGCATTCAGCCAAAGGACTCACTATTAACTATTTCAGATTAAAGACATTCTTCTGCTTAGTTATTCAACAATTACCTGCAAATTTTCACCTCTAAAGCCATATCTGTGCTGCCATACAGATGGTTGTGTTTAATCATTTCCTATAGTTCAATCCAGCATAGGCTCTACTGTTATAAATAGGTGCACCATGGGTGGTCTTATACAGCTTTTGTTTCAAAGAGAGTGTGAAAAGGCTCTATGTTTCCATTATGCAGTGATAGTCTGGTTTTAGTAGTACATCTACAAATTCTGCTACAAGCTATACTCAACACCTCCGAACCTCTGTAAGTCTTACAAGAAATATATGCATGTGCAAATATACATAGCACAGAGAAGAACATTAAATATAAACCCCCTCCCATATTAGCAGGTCTAATTATCTACCATTTTTAAGGGCTTCATTTTAAATCATGAAATTAAGAACATAATTATAATACAGTCTCCTAATGTCAGTATCTTCAAAGAACTGAATACTTGTGGCACTTACATTTTGAGAATGTCCTCTTCTTGCATTAATCTTCCATTAGATGTAAAGTGGCCTTAAATACACATTTTCTGTTTTGGTTTAAGGATTAAAAGTTGTTCTTTTGAGCATGAATCATAAATAGTTTTATCACTGATTTGTGGAAGGGACATTCAGGTCAGTAAAAGCTGTCTCTTAAGATATTGTGAAATGGTTATCTGGCATTTTTAAACTGTGTTAGAGAGAAAGTAATAAGGAAGTTTTCAATTATAAAGCAAGAAAAAAGGGAAGGCATTTACCTTACAGCAACTAGAGCTTTCTGAAATACTGTTTTTATCACATGAATCCAACAACACACTTTTAATGGATGCAGACAGAATCCTTGCACAGATGTCTGTGTTAGTGGCTAAGTTACGAACGTTGTACTAGTGAGGAGGGAGAAAACATTCAGGTACCTGTATGAAGAAAAGGCATCTCGAAGAATTGAAGTAATTTTAATTCAAGTTGCTTTTAAAAATATTGGTTTAGCCTAGGCAATCCTTCCTTTTTTCTGCTGTAGGTATAGTTGGGCATTTTTTTTTTCTGGAATATATATTCTTACAGATAAGGAGAACCAAATTTTATGTGGCAAGGAGTATTTCATGATAATTATCTTCCTTGTCATTTGGATTATGCCGTGTAAGTGGAGCAAACCAGTAAATTTATTCCACCAAAATTAAATTAATGCATATGAAATCAAATTTCCCTGAGGCAAAAATCTGCTAGGTAAATAGAAGAACTCGCTTGCATGCACCTGTGTTTGGAACAGCTTGTCATGATATGGAGATATGAACGGCAAGACAGGCATTTTAGCTTCCAGACTTGAGATTTCAATTCCAACAGACACTGCTGAGAACCAGGCTTTCAGGAATTCTGTGTTGTTTCTGGTCTTTACAAGATAATTCCCCAAGTAGCACAGCAAGTAGCTCACAGTGACTAGACTACTCCCTCCAGTGGGAGATTTATTGCATGAACTCTGTTTGAAACTGTTCTATGAATGTCTCTCTGGCAGCAAATGCATCACAAGCTATTAATGTCTTGCTTCCTTTTACCTTTTTACAATAAATCTGTAATCTTTTATATTTCTTAAAACAAAACTCTGTAAAGCATATTGCACTTTGCTGCAGGGAGCTGTGTTTTTGTTCTTGAGAGGGATACAGGCCAAATAGTTAAAGGAATTAAAGTCAAGGCTTACCTGCTACACACAGAAAGAATTGAAAGAAACCAGAAGCCTGTTTCCTTGTTGTTAATCCTTCTATAGAAGAGCAATAGTGGCACTGGGGCATGAAAATTGTCTTCCATATAAGTTGTGACAGTGAGTTTAGCCTCTTACAAAAGAAGAGATGGAAACACATGCTGCAGCCTCCTCCAGAATGGCACATCCACTACAAATCCCCAAGCAGTTTGCATTCTTGTAAGCTTTTTCTCTAATCTGTGTCCTGTACCTCTGATTGTGCCAGATGCTAACCTATATACCTCCAACTGTAAAGAACAATATGTAGTGCCAGCAAAAAGGCTTTATAACACATGCAATGAGTATATTCTTGTTCATACATCTAGGTTCTCTGTAGGCTTCTATAGTACTTCCAGAAGCTATTGTTATGCATAGCATAATGATACACATCTTAATTTAGATTTAATTTTCTTAATTAAGTTTCATGTTTCTTAGGGTTATGATTTAGAAATAGAAATCTTTTGACAACAGAACAGGTGCAGAACAAGTTTTGAAGATAAAAATTTCCTTATGTCACGTTTAGTGAGACACTTCAGCATTTTTCAGTAGTGTTTGTCTTTAATGCATAGACATAATTCTATCCTGTACTTGTACATCTGTCAGTTATCTCTGAATCCAGACATATGTTTCCAACGTGACACTCATTAGTGTTAGCACAAAGAGGGGATATGGCTTTCATTCTCCTGTGGCCACGGTATCTTAGACAGGAGGCTTTATTTTAGATTCTCTGCTGCCAGTTGTTCCTCTAAATGCAGAGTTTAAAAAAATATTGTAGGAGAAAGACATAAAGATGGTTGCAAGGCTCTGTTATTGCAGGAGGACATTGCCTGAACTCAGGAGTTTTTTCACTAGCATAGTGAGTGTGATTCGTTCTCACAGCAGTTCTGTCCAAGGTTGTTCACGCATATGCGGACACAGTCTTAACCTGGAAGATGAGAACTAGGCCTGCTGAGTACATCAAGGTCTACGAGATCTGAGAGCTCTTACATCAGGATTTTGCTCTCGTACAGTGCTCAGCAGAAGATTTAGTTTTCTCTTTGCAAATTGAGAGCATGTGAGAACATGACTGTGGTGATAAAAACAAGACAAGTGAAAAGCTCTCCTGCTGCATTTAGGAGGTGCTCTCAGAGCTACTCCCAAAACACCTCGATTGCAAGTTACTGTGGAAGCTGAGGACGAAGAGGGAGACCTAACATCGTCTTTGCACACCTGCAGGCATAAGTTTAAAAGCAATATAATTCTATAACTTCCATTTTTAATCTTGTAAGGCACATCACAGTTATAGAAAGACGAAACAGCGTCCTGTTTTCATGTTTGTGCTTGTGCAAGATTTGTTTGTTGCCACGGGGGCTGCGTGCCTTGTAGCACACACACTCCCCCCTTGCTCCTTAGAGTGTGAGGAGTTGCTATTCTTGCCGTGTTGGTACAATGGACTTCTCCCAGGAAAAACTGCTCGTGTCCACGCTGCCTGAATGAGGTCAGTTCTCATGGCAACCACACTTTATCCACAGAAATGTGCATTGTTCTCTAGCTCTTTCCTCTTCTGTGCAGAAATGATGTAAGATCCAAGGGAATAGAAGAGCAAGAAAGAAACCTAATTGGCATGCAAGCGGCAAATGCTGTGGCACTTATTTACCTTTCACGCTGATAGCTATTGTTTCACAAATTATTAGGCAGCCCAAAGTTTTAAGAGATGACACATATGTTAAGAGCACTCCATTAGGGCTGCTCAGCACATACACTAGAAGGTTTCTTTTTAGACAGAAGTTAAGTTAACACAGGGTTAGTTATTGTCAGATATGGCAGCAAACAACAGCTGTGTTGCTTTGTGCCTCAGGAGATTATTTCAGTCACTTCCTCCCTCCCTCCTTTCCTTCCCCCTTCTCCAGATTGATCAGGCTTGTCAGGGCTAGGGTGATTCATGGGAAGTTGGGAAGAAGAGAGGAACTGCTTTGCTGGTGGGGGTGGCCAGAGTTCCCTGCTCCCACTCCACTCCAGCTGCCCCAGTGAGGCTCCTGCCAGCAGCGGATTAAGTGGCACGATGGTGATGGTGACTGTGTCAGAGCTACACCTGTAACATGGGAACTCTCCGCTGATGGTGTAAGGTTATGTTAAATCTCCTTTGTAGAACTACCAGGGGAGTGGGTTGGTTTTTATTTTCCAGATTTCAAAACCTTTTGAACAGGAGAAAGATATCCCCTGTGCTTTTACTGGTGCTTTCACTCTTAAAAGGGAGCAAAGGGTTGGCCTCAGCCTAGTAACAGCTAACATTTACCTTGGTTGCAAGAACATCCTCAGTTTTGCCAGCCTAAGCATCTTGTAACTCCTCAGACCACAAAGCAGACCTGCTGCTGGGAGAAAAGCCTCCCCTATAAAGAACAACCACTTATTCACTGGGAGGCTGCTTATAGTGCTGCTCTCAGCTCTGAGGCATGGCTGGGTCTGGGTAGGCAGATCCAGCTGTAAAAGGTAAAGGTTTTGCTCTCATACCTTAACGCAATTCCTATGCTTGTGACTTTTATTGATGCCTTAACTGATTGCTCTCACCCTTCATACTGTATTCACAAACCTAGTGTCAGGTTCTACCAGCAAAATAGATCACAGAACCTATAATTATAATATGAGTTAGTAAAATGTATAAAGTTCTATGTTTATTTTGGATTATTACCTTCTTTGTTGTCATGGGGGTCACTGTAGATAGAAGCCAGGGTAAACAAGGAGAAAATGACAAAAGCCAGCAAGATGAAAGCTACTTCAAGGTTTGTGAAGGGCAGCTCCATCAACTGTTACTGCTTTGCCTAGGAAAAAGCGTAATTTATTGGGTGTGGAAAGGAACTGCTTTCAATAGAGTGGTTAAGTCTTTAGTCAGGAGGATACTAGATCCTGGTCAAACTGGTTAAGTAACTTCAGTCTGTAACTAAACAGTAATGCTGGCTCATGCAAGAGTGCACGTTCAAGCCCTTTTTACTGAGGACGTAGTATGTACAATTGCTCTGGGATACGTTTACAGCAGTTATTAAGGTAAAGCTGCACTTAACCGGATGTCTATCTATATATGTGTAATGCATTTAATAACAGGAACATATTTTGACACTGAAGGAGTAGTAAAGGGATCCTTATTAAAACAAAAAAGTATCTGTGAAAGCCTGCAAGAAAGCATAGATTTTCTTACCAGTAAAACTCCTAGTATATAAAAAGTCTGCCTTCTGTGTAGTGGAAAGTTTAAAGTGTAGGAGAGAAAACCCCAACATTACAACAAAATTATAAAGCCAATCCCAATCAATAGCGTAAGAATTCTGAAGTCAATGGAAAATTAAAGTGTTTGATTGTCCACAGGATTTAGCTCTAAAAAGCAGTGTCCCAGAAATCTCAAACCCAAAGAGTAGAATACATTTGTACAGAGAAGTGAAAAATCAGAAGCATATAAAAAAAAAAATGAAAACAGCTTGCATTAAATAAAGGGAAGCTGGCACTTACTGATTCCTAGGAATTTGTGAGCGTATTCCATTGGAGTTTCTTCATAATCATCCCAATTCAATAAAATGATTCAGTATCATGAACAGAGTTACTCACTAACAGCGGGAAGAATCTAATGTAACGTGGTTCCCTGATGATTTTCGCTTGCTGCCTTGCTCATGCAGGTGCAGTCCACATCACACTGGAGAGTGGTGAAAGTGGGAGGAGGAGGCACAGCTCAAGGAGTTCTTTTGGTCTTGTACCTGCCTACAGTATGCTGGCTATGTGCAAGTAAACTGAAGCAACAGAAGTTGCAGCAGTGCCTTTGGGGCAGTCAAGGCTGAAGTTTGTATATTGTAAATACTGTTGAATTTTAAGCCCTAGTGAAATATTAACATAATGGTAAACAGAGGTCACCAACATAAGACCCAGCTCAGTAAAAAGAATTTTAAAATTCAGATCCATACAGATATAAGCAGTAATTATTAGAATGATATGGCTGTGTCAGCAAGAACTAAACTTGTATAGACGCAACTTATATGAAAATGGTCCTTTGGAAGGATTTTTCTGAACATTTTGTGAGGATTTTGTTTGTTGAAAAGCCTTGGTCTGAAAACCAAAAATACCATTTATACAAACTAAAGCATCAGCCACCTCTGATTGTATAAGCTGCATATTAATTAAAGGGGCTTTCTAAACTATCGCTTTTAAAAAATTCTAATTATTCTATTATTTAAAAATATAAAATATTTTGACATTGCAATTTCTGATCTTTTGCAGAGTGATCTTGGCAGGAATAGCTACACAGCAGTAAAAGGAGTGATGCTTATGAAACACAGTGTCAATAATACCTGAATAGAATAGAAGAATGTGGAGATGATTTGATCTCTGTTGCATCTTGTCTATCTTCTGCTTGATCACTTTTGCAAAAAACATTTAATTAGTAGCCATTATAAATCTCTGGTTATGATTTCTAAGAGTGAAAACATAGTAACACATATCATAACGTTCCTGTCTATATGATGGATTGATTAGTCACCCCATTTTATTCAATAAACCAGAGTCAACTCTTCCAGTCAAACTTACACTTGTATATCTACTGAAAAAAATTATCTATGATTTACTGTATTTATGCATGCTTTTTCTTTGCATAATATATGATAATATTCGTATATATCTGCCTAAATTTAGGTAGAAATTAAAAACTTACAGCTTTTCCTATAAACAGAGTAAAATTCTTTCATTTTCTCCTATGTCAATAAAGCTGATTGATCTTTTATGCTACATATGAAAGTATGTTACAGCTGATGAGAATTTTTTATGTAATAGCCTGTAATTTCTTTAAGGAAAATCACTAAACAAAACTAATATATTTTGTATTGTTGTGCATATATGCATAGTGTATTCATTTGTGTAAATTATATTTATACCTATACATTATTAACTAGTTAAATATCAATCATAAAACACATTAGGCACAACAAGAAAAAAATAATCTGAAGAGCCATCAGTAAAAGAACTGATGGTTGATAATGTTTTTGAAAGCTGCCAAATCCTATGGAAAGCAGTTGAAATATAATCTCTTTAGCTCTCTAGCACGTTGTATTTTTTTCTCTTCATTGTTGGCATGATCTGTTACCTGGCTGCCATACATTTAAGAATGAATATAAGAACAGGCATCTACTGGTGCTGAGGTATAAGTATCACTAAAGAGAAAGACAAGCCATAAAGAGTAAAAAACATTTTCAAAATGTTAATTCTGAATATACGGTTATAGACATAAACACTGATGTCTGAATTAGGACAACACATTTATTAGCAAAAATAAGCAGCTGTCCAAATTGTAATTTGATTTAATATTAAAAATCACAGAACAGCATGATAAATTATTAAATTGCAATGTTTGTCTCTTTGTACACTGCTATTGTACACTGAGAAAATAGCACATCCTTCTTCTTAGAGACTAGCTCATATGAGATGTGTTCAATGGAAGAATAGATTCTCCCACCTATGTCCTGCCTTTGTAATGAACAGATAAAATATGCAGTATTTGCTAAGAATAGAAGGTTTGTGCCCCATATTGAGGTCTTCTTAATACTTCAGGAAGGTTTTATGAACAAAAATTCTGTTTAGAGGCTAAAGAACATAGTGGGTTAGCCCTTCAAATGTGCCTGTGTTATGGCTGAAAAATTGACACCTGCGAAGCAAATTTATCAAACAAACTTGAATTGAATTAAGTCAGTTCCTGATGTTTGAGTTTCTTTTGATCCAGGTAGTGTCATGTGGCAATTATATCACACTGCCATATCTGGAGGAAGACTTCTCATGCAGACGTGGCTTTATTTGCTTTTAAGCAAAGTGATATTATTCCTAAATCTACTCTATTTGCCTGCTATAAATGAGTCCTTCAGCTTTTATCATTTAAAAAAGCAATAATAAGTGTCAAGCTACATATTAAAAAAAGTATCCGTATACTGGAGGGAATGGATCTGTGGAAGAGTCTACTAAAATGGTTTTTGAGGAACCACCATTTAAAAAGGTATTAAATGATTTGTTAGTTGCTACTGTTTTCCTACCCTTTGCTGCTTTTAATTGGTTTTAGATTTCTTGGCAGGTCTTTCTGTTGTCTAAAATTGAAAAGTTAACTTCAAAATGCTATGACATCATCTACTGTAAATGAGCATCCTTTGCTAACTGCAAATGCTGCAAATGTGATGAGCAGCTTCCTCATTGAATATTAACCTGCCAAGTCAGGTGCTGTCGTGGGCTGAGTATCCTGATAAAGGAGTAAGTTTATTTAAATCTGCTTGGATATTTATACAGCACAGGTGTATCCTTCATCATTAGCTCAAGAGTGAACTGAAACAGAAAAAAGGTAAGGAAGGGGCTGTAGAAGGAATAGCTAGAGAAGTTCCAGCAGAAAAAAATGCTGCTATAGGAATAAGTATGTGACATGAATAGTGTGTACATATCAGAGAGAAGTACAGCCTTTGGACTTACATATCTGTAACTTCCCAGTTACCTCAATATACCCTAAGTTCACAGTGGGTGTGCTCTAGACTCCTGTTTGCTGAATCTGTTCATTTTGTTTCCTTAACTTGTATTTTAAACTTATAAATGTGTAACGCAAACCAGACATTTTAGCTGTGAAAAATGTAATAAGATATAACTTTATTATGGTATACTGAAAAAAGTACATGAGGTAAGACATTTTCTCCCATCATAGGGTTTAGCTTTAGTAGCAGTTATATAAAAAATGGGATGTTATAAAGATTAACTCAAACTTTCTCTCTAGGCTTTGCTGCTCCTATGGTTAATGCTTGAGGACTGCTCAGCTTAGAGCACACATCCTTCTTTGTTATCTCAGTAAAGAAATGAGTCAACAGTGTTAATGAGTCAGCAAGGCACATAAAATAGCTCTTGCTAAAACACCCCAACCAACCAAGCAAACAAACAGCAAAGAAACAACGAAAAAGGCTGCTGTGTTGTTATAATGTTGTAGAAAAAAACATTGAAGTTGCCTTGAGTCTGGCTTTTCCTTACTTGTAGCTAAATTGTGTTCATTTCAGGGGTGTTTTCTGTTCACAGAAATTGACAGTGGCAGATTGTTTTTCTATCTGGTCTTGTTTAGGGTTATTTGTTCTCTGGATGTTATACCCAATGTCTTTAATATTAAATGTACCTATATGTATTTAGCTTTGCTGTCCATTTATTATTCCATGTTTTTACCTGCCTAAGGAACTAATCTGCACTAAAAGGCAGAAGATCCTGCCATATTTATTTCGGTGGGATATTGGTGACTTTATAACTCAGCAGTGAAGTGAAATTTTGTTTCTAGCTCTGTACATAACACTTTGACACTTTTGACCTACAGAAACAATTCTAAATATGAATGATTTTTCTTTTTTCTTTTTTTTTTTTTTTAATATTAGCTTGAGATCAGAATACAGGTGAGTTCAGTTTAAAACTTGATGACTTTTGTTCTGGTTCATATGACATTCAGTTATTCGTGTTGTGCTGAGCACAGCTTCATAGTTTTTCATAATGCTTAAAGGTAATTTTTGTGCAAGAACATAATACTAGATAATCGACATGTATTCTATTACAAAGGAAAGACATGTCCAGTGTGAAATGTGAAGGAACAGTACAACTTCTGGAGTAGAAGCAGGGCTTTTCTTTAATCCATATAGACTTGAAATTGTTCAATTAAAAGAAAAGCTTTGTCAAAATGGAATCTTCTGTATCCCAATGACAGTTCTATATTGTATCTGAATTTGGATGAGCTTGTGGGCAGAACAACCATAAAATACTCCCATGCTCAGAAAATACATCTAGGACCTGCAAATATATTGTAACCGCAAGATTCTGATTCTGTGCAAGGAAAAAGCACAATAGAAAACAAACCCCAAAATTGTTCCTAAGACTATACTCCTACAATTTCAAGCTCAGCCCTTTAAATGGGGGTAGAAACCCTGTTACTGGTAGTCACCAGAGTCTCATTTAGTAAAAGCACATGCAAGAGCACAGGATGAATCAGCTCAGCGCACCTCAGCTCTCTGGTCCAGGAGAGTATAGCCCATACCCACGCACGTCATACCGAAGCACTGTGTGGTGAACCAGCTGCCAAACTGAGATCGTCGTCACATCCTGGGCTGGTTTTATGCTTTTATTTGCTAAGGTCTCTGCAGCAAATATCTGATGCAGGGGGAAACAAAGAACTGCTTTGTCTGCTGTTCTTGGAATGAAATTGCAATATTGTAATAGTATATCACTTAATCTAAATAATCAGTTTGATTGTTACTTTGTGTGCTGTTTCTGCTAACGTGATTTGGATTTATTTTGAATTTGTATGGAGTGATGTTTGCAAAAAGTGCATACCAAATGTTCTTTCCTTTAAAATGCTATGAATTGAATAGCAGGCAGAAGAGGTTTCTTTCAGTTAAACTTCACTTTTCAGACTTAACTGACTTAATTGGTCAGAATTTTTCCCACTTTTTTTTTTAGTAACACTACCAATAGTGATATACAAATATCTTATTTAGTCAAAAAAAGGAATTTTATAATAAATGAACTATTAGGTAAGATGAAGTAAATGATAATTAAAATAAAATATTTTGTTTTCATTCAGAATCTAAGCTTAAAAAAGAAAAAATAATTAAAAATATTAAAAACCTTTGTTTTGATTTTGTTCTTCTTTCTCTTTTAGCAAGAGTTACAAAACCTTTCTGTTCATATGTCTAAGCCTCTGGATGGCTGTAGCTCAGCAGAGGTTCCTATTGATTCAGTTGACCTTTCCAAGAGGAACTTGATTATTTATGATAAACTATGTGTAAATCATGGGATCTAGGATATGCCAACAACTGAAAAACAGTAATTTTCCAACTGTGGTATTTAGCACTGTTGAAATATCCTCTCTCCACTGTAAATTACTTTGGTCCAACTTTTGTTTGCATGTATATGTCATCATTGTCGAGGTACATTAACCACCTGCTTTCCATTAACCACCTGATAACTGCCCCTCCCTTGTTCAGAGGTGAATTGCAAGCACAGCAGAGTTTGTGTAGGATTTCTGTTAATTTCTT